GATATACACCTTTTTACACTGTGGTGGGTGTGTGTGTTCGTCGCCGTGTGTGTGTGTGTGTGTGTGGTGTGCGTGTGTGTGTGTGTGTTGTGGTGTTGTGCGCGTGTGTGTGTGTGTGTGTGTGTGTGTGCGCGTGTTGCCCTCAGCCTAGACCTCAACAGGAGTCTAGAGAAGACGTTATTACACTCCCTGTAGAAAATATGCATTCCCTCCGTGTACTTTCTTTCATGTTTTATTGTTTTCAGCATTGAATTACAGTAGATGTATGGTAAGGGCTTTTTTTTTTACACTGATCACCAGAAAAAGTGAAAGCAGATATTTACAAACTGATCAAAATAGCTAAACATAAAATAATTGTTTGAACAAGTATTCAGACTTTTTAAATCGATAAGTTCTGTTGCTGTGCTCACAGTTCGCTCCCAAAAACTTTTGACTGAATTAAGGTTTGGGCTGTGCAACTTCAACTCATCAGACAGAACAATCCTAGTCCACCTTGTTTGTTATCTATACGCCTTCAAACTTCTAAAGCAGCGGCTGCTGAAGCACCAGTTGCACTCTGGTGGCCTCTAAGTACCGTATTTACACACGTTGTTACACAGTTGTGCTAGGCACATTTCCAATTGTGCCATTTCCTTTCCATTTTTTTATGTTGGATCTTACTCCACTTGAATGGGTAATTTAGTTCTTTGGAAGTATTCTTGCATCTTTCCCTCACAGGTTTGAATGTTCCTTTGTCATCATAGCTTTTATAGGAAATTGACACGGTGTTGGACCTTTTACATACAGGTGTATTAAACTAAGTTACTTTTCACACCTGCCTTACTCACAAATGATCTCTTCTGCATTTGACTGCAGCCGTGTTGGGTGAATACAATTATTATTTCCTGTTTTATCTTTTTTATGTTGATCTCTATCAAAAATGTCCTTAGTCCACAGTGATTCAATGTTGTAAAACAGTAAAGTCAAAGTCCAACAGGCGGTGATGGATACTTTTTATAAGCAGTGTATATTCTCTCTCTGTCTGACTGTTTTCTTATTCTGTTACTCTGCATTTTACTGATTTTGCATCTCTGAAACTCTAATAAACACATTCAGCTAGTGTTGTGTGTGATGCCGTGTCTTTCTGAACATGCATATGACTGCAGTGCATGCTCATATTTCTTTTACTCTTAAAAAGGTTGACACCCTCCAGCTCTGCTCTGCCCTCATGGTAATCCACTTGTTTTTCTTCAGCCATTTTTTTTAAATTAATGTACGAACACACACACCGTCAAACTCTAATCTGCCCTGCAGGGTAACTGGAAAGACAAGCTGGGCTACAAACACGGATGCAGCGCATTACACTTGTGCATGTACAGTAAACAAATATGTAAGGACATAAACTTTTGCAAGGCCTGCGGGTTTCATGACAATGTCATGCAACAGCCATGAATTGGAAGCCTATAGATGTGCTTCGAGGAAAAATGTCAGGAGTGTGTGTGTGTGGGTGGGTGGGGTGCAGTGATCATAGGGAGAGCCCTGAGGAGGTTTCCTCTGTGTGTGTGTTTGTGTGTGTTTGTGTGTGTTTGTGTGTGTGTGTGTGTGTGGAGTGTGTGAGTTTGAGTTGTGAGGGTTCACAGTGGTCCACCAGTTCTCCGTGCATTCTTCTAAGCAGAGCTGACACATCAGGGTCACTCTGTACCTCGAGACACACACCGGAGAGCCCCACGAGGGAGTCGCACACAGGAGGCCTTGACTATACTGTTCACACACACACACACGCACAGGAAACCCACCGGGGAAGATCACACACAGGAAGATGCTTAAACATACACGCATACACACACTCCAAAATGGCCTTTACTACATAGGTCATAGCAGCAGTTGCATAAAGCAGAGGATGGAGACAGATGAGTGCGGTTCAGAGAAAGGACACGAATGGAAGACGGAGATAAAGTCAAAACTGAGGAGATGAGCTTCAGTGTTGGACCTACAGGGTGGCAGTGCATGCCAACTGCCAGGACCTGCCAGCCCACCTGCCATCCCACCTGCCAGCTACCAAACACAAAATGTAAATTTTCATTGAGCACAGTGTGCCACAACTCCTGAACTAGAGGAACAACAGGAGGGACAATAGCAGCCACCAGCCTCTCTCAGAAATCTGGACATCCACCTGTTTGCCAATTTCCTTCATTTCCTCTCAGAGCACACAGCAACAAGAGCAACGTGAGTGAGTGACACTTAAATTGGCTCTCACTGCCTGCTGAGCTCTATCAGCAGACGTGGAAGCTTCTTCTCAGCCTGAAACGAGTCAGCAAAGAAAAGCATGTGTGGGTCTTAGTGTTTAAAGACAGACTGCCGTCAGTGTGTGCTCGAAGATCAGTCTGTACGTATACTCAAGAACTGTGCTTAAGTACAAATTTGAGGTACTTGTACTTCAGTTCAAAATATCTGAGGCACTCAAGAGGGTAGTGATTTAAAAAGCCTTTAATATCTCCAGTCATCAGATATTAAAGGATTTTTAAATTACTATCTTCTCGAGTGCCTCAGATTTCTTGTAAATTCTAAACTATCTGATCCCTGAACTGAAGAAGCACCAGAGGGACACCTTTTTTGACACCTGAGCAGCACTTTTGTACTTTACTTGAGTATTTAAATTTCATGCAACTTTATACACCACTACATCTTAGAGGCAAATATTGTACTTTTTACATTTGTCTTGCAGTTTTAGTCACAACTTACTTCTCAGATTTACAATTTTTCATACATTTCCTGTCCAATAAAAACCATTTAGTGATTTTGAATGTGAATTTTTCTGATAAACTGAAGGATTAAGTGTTCCTTTAGGGGTTATTCTTAAGTTAAATCAACAATTTAAAACCTTTTTAGATTAGCTGGAAAATGTCACATGTATAAGCTGTATATACCAACATATGATGATCTTATAGAATATGATGCATCGCTGTCAATTAAACTACCCAACAATGTTAAAATAGTAGTTACAATAAGCTCAACCTCCTTCTCTATTTAGAGTCTTTCTGCTGTAATGTTGGTACAGAAGGGGTGTTTGATTTGATTGCCCTCATGAAAGTACCACCCAGTGGTCTTTAAAATCAAACAATAGCCTGACCTGCTCTACAACAGCAATGCTTTGTTTACAACGCTCATTAATCATGTACATGTACTACAGCTATCTGTGGCATACTATAGATCTTATTTTTTTGTACCTTGTGTCCTTCATTGTGCCTTTTCCATTCACCTGCAGTGTTAAGCTGCATGAGGCATCAGTCCAGATTTAGATAATTACTCTGTTCCCTGCGCTTCCTCACCCTGCCAGCACCGGCTGCCACCCAACCTCTTGTAAAACTTCCTAATCCAGCACTGATGAGCTTTAGACAAGTTTAGCAAATATATAATCGATTGAACCTGTTTGTTCAGTTCATATTCATTACACATTTTCTCCTTTTTAGTCCCAGACAAAAATCATTTCAGCCTCAAAAATCTTTGTCGTCAAGGAAACCAGCCAAGCAGGCACGGATCACATCAAATGTGTCGATCCTTGCAGCATTTTGACTATAAAAAGCATTACTGTCAGAGGTCATGCTGTATTTTCTTTAACGTTATGCTTCAGATTGTCCGTGCATTAGGAGGTTCACATGTTCCTGAAGCAGCATGTTCCTTTTCTTTCTTGTCTCTGTTGTCTCAGTGCTGAAGTTCAGTAGCACACATTGATTTAAGCAGCTGTCAGGGAGACTGAAGAGGTGTGAAGAGACGTGTACAGGTGAGAGGGTGAGTACAACCGACCTTCTGCCAAGCTTTTTGTCATGTACTGGATCCTCGAATAACTTGTCTTTTAGATTAAGATAATGAGACACAGAAGATTAAAAAAGTCAGAGCAGCTCTGTCATCTATTCAGAACTTATTTTGGTGCAGGAAAAAAATGTGAACCAGTAGTCCAATCAAAGATTAAAAGGTATTATTATAGCAAAATATGTTAGTATGGTACAGTATGCTTGTTTCCTAATTCACGTTCATTGTCTGAATTTTTAAACAAAGATTGGGACTCCCCGTTTATATGACCATCAGGAGAATGTCTTAAGATAAAAATAAGACTTTACTGATCCCACACTGGGGAAATTCCCTGTTAAGATGATGAAGAGATAACAGCAGCTGGAGAGATGAGAGAGCAGGGAGTTCATCCCAAGAGACTTTGTAGCTAGTGAACAGAATTTTGATGCAAAATGATGTTTACATTAAGACCTTAATTAATTCATTAATACACACATTTATCAACTCCTTCAGGTCAGCAGCCAGATGCTAAATATTGATTTGAATTTACCATGTTTACCTATCAAACACAAAGCAGGCCTGCAGCCAAGCTATACTGTTAAGACTCATATTGTCAACAAAAAGAACTTGAAATGGCAAATGTGATGTTGATTTAATACTTGAATTATATTGTGACAAATTAGGGCCATCTCAGAGCATAAGTACTGTAACAGACCACCTTAGCATTCACATGACCTAATACTGGCTGAACCCACAACGGATGAACTGTCGGAGAACTGCTATTGCCCAAAATGTCAAACACTAAAATACCTGGAATGCTGCAGAAACCGAGACTAATGTACATTTTAAAAAAAGCCTCTGTGCACGCCTAGAAGGCTTTCCACTACACCTACCCTCCTGGGATGTTACAATATCATCACAGCTTGAGGTTGCTTTAAAAAAAAATGGCATTTTGGATAGTTCATAGCAATACATACACTGCAGTATACAACAGGCCAACATGCATCTTACCACTACCCCAATTGAATAATAATACAGCTAAATGCAAACATCAGGATTGTTGGGCCTGTGTCCAGTCATCAAATCAAAAGTCAAAGATAACTTGTTTCCAACTTGCTGTAAAAAAATAACTGTTAAACTCTTTTACAGTGAGAGAGGAGAGAGGGTGAGAGAGTCTGTAGAAATTGTGTTTTACTTCATTCACATGCAGCATATGATTCTCAAGAAAGTCAATATTTCCAGTAATTTTCATTTTTTTTGAACACCTGCATAAAATAAACACACTCACACACACACTGCCTCACTGGCTTATTGTACACTCTAACCTTCAAAATGAAATGTAGAGTACACACAGCTTCTCTAAGGGTTATAAAATCTTGAAGACACGTCGCCTGTAGTGATATGTATTATGTAGCAACAAAATAAGCACACCTCATGATCCCACTCTACTATACTTGCATCTTCTAGGTATATATGTGTGTGTGTTCTTCTCGTCCCCGGAGCCCCTCCAGTGGGCTGTGGCTGTAAATGAAAATGGAGTTGGAGCAAACTTGTGTGATCTTAAGAGGGTTCGATGGTTTGCAGTGCCACGTGGAGCATCTCTCAGCTGGATGCAGATAATCTGAGCAGTCTCCTTTTATACATTTCATTAACACCTTGTCTTCAGTCACCTCCAGCTGACTGGAAGACACACAAACTCTCTCTCTTGTACACACACACACACACACATACACACATACACACACTTCCTGAGTCCTGCAGCTCTCTCGGTTCTGCGAAAGCCGTCGTGCTCTGCTGCGTCTGATTACCGCCCTCAAGCCCCTCCCTTCAAGTTTATAACCAATTACTGGTCCTCAGAAAAAAAAATAATGGAGAAAAGGCCCCTTTCTTGGTCCCCATGGCAACCACTCTCCTCTTCTCCTGTTCTGCACAATCAATCAGACAACGACTGTCTAGCTGTCCTGCCCCAGCCCGGCTAAAGAGGAGCAGTGCAGGAACCGAATACCACTCTCAGAGGTTTGGTGTGCAGGCTATTTTTGGTCATTTTCACTCAGTGTCTCTGCATGCCTCCATCTTGTCCTGTGTTTGCTTTCTCTATGCTTTTTCCTCAGTCGACTCTAACCTACAAAACATATCTTACACAGCAAAAAAACAAACGACAACAAAGTTTTTAAATAATCTTCACCGTTATGGAGTCAAAAGATGTCCTTGTCTCTAATGATACATGAATATTCAGCCATGGTTTACTTATCCTGACTGTGCACTCGTGTTTCGCCTGTTGCATCTTACAGTATTAAATATTTAAGGAGATAATTTGACTGGAAAGTACTCTTACTTACTTTCTTGCTGAGAGTTAGATGGGGAGGTTGGCCGCACTCATGTAAATTTGAAGCTATACAGCCAGCAGCCGGTTAGCTTAGTTAAGCTCAAAGGCTGAAAACGGGGAAACAG